AGCAACCTAACCCTGTAGATTAAATAAAGATTCCCTGTTTTGTTACCCTGATCTACAAGCATCTAATGAAAGCCCTTTCACAGCGACCGAAACTTTGCGATGATAACAAGAAAGATAAGGAAATTAGTCCGTGTGTAAATAAAATAACTTGGACAGCTTCCTCAAAGACGAAGAGAACACCTGAAGTAAGAGAAATGTGATGCTACAGAAGGATACTGAGAATGCCGTGGTCGGAATGCGCCAGCAACGAGCAAATCTAAAGAAAAATGGAAAGATAAAAGACTTAGAATCAGAAAATGACATTTCTTGAAAGATTAATGAGGAAAGAAGGCTTGGAAAATTTGACACATGACATAACGATGGCAAAAGGGACTGGTGGTTAGAGGTAGCGGGCCACGTAGAGGACGCCCTTATGTAAATGGAAGGTAGACCGGGGCGTGAGAGGGATGGCAAAACGATAAACAATACTACAAAGGAAACATAGCTGAGGAGAGCCATGATTGCTTGCGTCCTCATGGGTCATGTCATATAGAAGAAGATCAATTTTATATTTTGATTTGCTTTGCGGGTAAGCCCTCTCTAGGCATTTTACTCCCTCACTCAGGTTTGCTATACAGCCACAAAGCGCGCTTCAGATGAGCTCCTGGTCAATGTGTGAAAGGTTATCGAAGAATAAGCTATGCGTTTGAGATTTCACGACAAGACTAGTGTTTGCTTTAAATCAATAACCTGCTTCAGTAAAAATAGATTCGCTTAGTTCGTTACGTTTCTTAGCAATTTAGAAATCGAAGCGAAGTTAATATTTTTTATTTAAAAAAAAAAAAAAAATATTTGCTTTTAATTAAAAATTATAATTTTTTCCCCTCATTAGTTTTCGACTAATTTGGTGTGGAGTTATTCTTTGCTTTTGAAATGTTGCTGTCTTTCTTCAATTATAAGCCAATCACTTCTTTTTTTTCTGCACTATTTGTTCTAATGTATTAATTGTAATTACGCGCGTCACGTTCATTATTATTAAGCAAGAGTTCTTGATATGAATAACAGAACCAAAAAACTGTTTATCTCTGTTTTCTGATTTTTTTAACGACATTTCGAACGTTTGATGTACAAATGAAGAACGTAAGAAAAGACAAAGAAAGAAAGAAAATCATCCATCCTCTTCTTTTCTTACTACATCACTTGCGTCTTTTCCGATACTTTAAAAAAAAAATTATTCTTTATTAATATTTATTAAACTTAGCTAAGTAAGACATAAGGCCATGATATCCGATTTTGGAAAATTAGGAAAAATTTGATGTTGTTAATACAATTGTGTGTGTGTGTGTATATATATATATATATATTTTTTTTTTAAAGATATTTTATGTTTATACATTCTTTTTTGCATTCATAATGTGTTACATCATATATATATATATATATATATATATATATATATATATATATATATATATATATATATAGGGAAGAGCTAGAATATTGGATTTTGTAGTAAAATTTCCTGCAAAAATAGTTCAAACAAATGTTTATGGTAACATTAATTTATCGGCAAACTGCAAATGTCCCAGACGACACAATTCGATACAATGATAAAATTTATTAACACAAAAAAAAAGAAAAAAAAATTACAAAAATGTATTGGTTTATGTATCTAATGATGGCCAATAACACGTAAATTATCAATGAAAATCAAACATGCTATTTTACAATTAAAATCATAATGCTGCCTAAGAAGGTGTTGTGGATGTGTCATGTGTGTTGTAGAGGAATAGAAGGTTTGAATTATCAATAATCTTCCATCCACAACAATTAATACAAGATAGAGAAATAAAGATTCATAAACATCTTGTTTCAAAACGTAACAATTGAATTTATTCATATTTGATATACATGCATGTGAACTGAAAAGTTGTGTCTCTTAGATTAGGTAAATATTTGTATTCGAGCTCATAGAGTGAAAGTAATTATTATACTGTAGTTTAGAAGAATAAAGTTCCTTTTGCATGTTTGGAATTGTGTATTGTACAAGTTGGTAAAAGTTCAGAAGAGATTTCAGGGTTCGTACTTGCGTGAATGTTGGTAATGGTCTTTAACGTCTGACTGCATTAGTTAAGACGGGAGTTCTTGAAGATTACATCTTGGTACTTGGTAGCAAGGAATGAGACGCGAGAAAGAGATGAATGAAATGAAAACTACCCAGGGAATTTACACGTGTTCCGTTTTTATAATGGTCGTGTATCACGTGGGAGGCTCCAAACATATTGAGCGGGAAAACAGATTTGTCGCGTGCAGGCGGTTTGATTGGTCGGAACTGACCAATCAGCAAGCTAGATTGAAGGTGATTAACCAATGGATGCTTGTTATATATTTGTAAGATTGTGATGGTGAAAATTATAACAGGAATAGTGCATTTCCTAGCAGGGGTTAACTAGCTTGTCGTGGAAGAGTCCACAAAGGTCCTCAGAAAGGAAGACTACATAAAGGGAAGAAAAACAGAAATCCGTCTCTGAAGAGTTTTCAAAGAGAAAAAATGAACACTTTTTTGTATGATGAAAGTTCGTGGTTTCTTTTGCTTGTTGCAACACCGAAGATATAGTCAGATTAACCTCACCAGGCAGAGGCTTAACTTTGAGCTGGGAGCGACCGGGTAGTTCTTTTCTATTATTGTCTGGTGGTTGTTTAAATTCTTCTGAGTTGTTTTCGTTCTGAACTGGGGCTACCGGGATTTCTGTAGTAATTGTTTCTCGACTCCAGAAATCAAATCCAAAGCCCTACTTAAGTAGCCTACAAGCTCCAAATACGCTGGAAACCATTTTGTTGGTTTTGAACGTAGCTGTTTGACCACTAATCAAAATGTACCATAACTCTTTTCGAAACTTAAAGATGAAACAAGAGCCCATCACATGCTCATGTAGTTTAAATTTTTTACAAGATTGGAGAGACGTGATGGTTGGGGTTCAGTTTGTGTCCTTCATGGAAAGAATTAATTAGAAAAAATATATGTCCTTCAAATTCGATGATGCTAACAATATTTAATTCAGACAATTACTGCAATTTCTTGAACATTTTCTACGTGGTACAGGTCACAAACATGCCTTTATTAATAGAAATATCTTCCACATATATCGTGAGGAAATAGCTCTAAAATAATAGTAAGGCATTAGCTAAAGGAAGGTACCACTGACTCTAATATCTTACCATTATTTGGGAAGTATTTCTGGGAGGTAGTTGTGGGGGGTATTTCTGGGAGGTAGCTGTGGGGGGTATTTCTGCCACATTAAAGTATGAAACTAATAGTCACGATTCACTGTTGATATCTATGTTTATACTGTCTGTCAGTTTGTCTGTCTGTTTCAATTTATCTGTGTATGCCTAAAGGCACATTTTCTTCCTGATTTTATTTTTCTGACTTTGGAATACTTCGGCCTGGAGATGTTCATTGCACTGTTTAAAAACTGTGATGCAAAACACGTGTACCCATTAAATTTAACATTTATGGTAATAATACTCTCTCTCTTTCTCTCTTTCTCATACAAAGACACAGAAACACACTCAAACACACTCAAACACACACACACACACACACATATATATGTGTGTGTGTGTGTGTGTGTGTGTGTGTGTGTGTGTGTGTGTTAGACAGCAATCCCTCTTTTATATAGGTTTTGTTAAAGACGACTGACAAAGCACTGCAATTAAGCATTTTATTATATTTTTCTTGCATGCGTGCCAGATATTTGCTTTTGGGACATAGAATGTGTAAGAACTGTACAAATCATATATATATATATATATATATATATATATATATATATATATATATGAAGAAAATATATAGAAAAACAAAAATTCATATTTTGTTTTTCCATATATTTTCTTCATACTGTCGGATCTATATCCATATATTTGCTTATATATATATATATATATATATATATATATATATATATATATATATATATATATATATATATATGTATGTATGTATTTGATTCAGTGTTCTGCAAACTGTTGAGATGCTACATCTGTTTGGATGTCTTTTTAGACTTGATTTCGGATTGAGTAAAACTTCTCACGTGATTTTAGTAACTTGAAACCTTGTCGTAGAAGCACTGATACAGGACTGATTTCTTTCAATTTATGAACGAGAGATAAGACAGTGAAACCAGCTGGGAATTTTTATGGCATTCAATGGACAGATAAGCCTCACTTGATTTCTTTTGCACGCCCTCGGAGTGGTATTTGATTTTCATCAGGGTTTCGAAATGGAATTAGAAAATAAATTTTTAAGATAACAGGAGATTGAGCGTTATGAAATCTGGGCTTCAATTTCAGCCACTGTTATGACTTCATATACTGACAAATCTATTTATTTCACAGGTTGGGTGGTCGAATACTTATTCACAAGTTGTTATAGCTTATTGTGGAAATAGTTTTTTTTTATAATATTAATTCTCAAACAAGCGTTTCAAAGATTGCCTGAAAAATCCTTTGTTGCCTGTCACATCAACCATTGCCAATGGTCAACCCTGTCGTCTCACCACCAACCATATTGTCTCATCTTTGAAAATACCTGTAGGGACGCTCTCAGAGACAAGAGGCAGAGGAGGAAGTACTCCAACGCTGTGCCGTCGGGCCGAGGTCGGATATTTAGCTGCAACTACCGCACAATGCTGTTGAAAGTGTTATGTTCGTGGCAAACATCAGACATAAGCTTAATGCCTAATGATTACCCCGCACATGAATATAGTACAGCATCATTTTTATTACATATATATATATATATATATATTATTAAAAGAATAAATAGTATACAAGTCTAGAGTCAGGCAAATGCTTGAATATTTTTTTTAAAGTGGTCAATACACAATTCAAAAAATTTATGTTTGTAGAGCTGATAATAAAATATGAGATTAGGAAAAATCCACGGCGCAACGCACTACATCCGGGTTTCCAACTTACGGTCTCAGCAGGACAGTTACTTGCAGGTGGTCCGTTAG